TGAGCGAAACCGCGCGTGAGGGGGTGGCCGGGCTGGGCGGCGTGCGGGGGCGGTGTCCGCTGCGCGGGAGGGAGGCTGTTCGCTTCTGCATGGCATTATGATGGAATGCTGTTACGAGGTGCTGCCCATGGAGGGAGGGGAGCCCGTTCACGAAGTCTCTTTCTTGGAATGAGGATTAAAGTACAGTATTTTGACGTGGAGTTTTTATTTTCGTCAGTTTTGAAGAGGTGTTCCCTACAGAGGGTATTGTAAGAATTTTTTTAAGAGGTCAATCTTGCATTGCTAGTTCATAACTTAAGTGGCAAAACTGATCGACGCTTTCTTACTGGGAAGTGCCATGATGCTAATTCTAACGATTTTATATAGACGTTTACTTTAATTAGAGAATATGTAATAATATCGTCCTTACTTATCATTACAGCCTATTGTATGCAATTGAGTAAACGCAAGAATGTATGGCAAGCCAGGAAGTCTCATTATCACAGTAAACAACATTTATACTTTCATCTTAATTATGCTTTTAAATTTTAACTAATTAATTATTACAGTAGTATTGGTAAGTATTGTTGCGTGTAGGTTGCAGTTGGGGAAAGAGAGTCTAAGGTTCACCTTTTTAAAAGCACACATGACCAAGATATGGTGGTCCTAAGAAATGCTGAGTAGCTACTGCTGCCAGTCATTTTTAGAAGTCAGGCATGACCGTTCACACCTATAAAATGAAGCAACCAAAACAAGTGATTAACTTCTGGAAGTAGTTTCAATGACCACTCTAGCCTCACAAAATAAGTCAATGGTAAAATTGGAACTCAGATTTGGGACAACCTTTATGTGTGGATGTATTCAGGTTGGTATCCACACAAACTGGCAATTCTGTACTCTTAAGAAGTAAGTGTATATAACCTTAACAAATTACTCTTACAAAATTTCACATGGGTTCAATTACTAAATACAAGTTCTTGCACTCATTCCTAAATAAAAAATAAAAACTCCCTTTCTTTGTTCAACTAGTCTTAAAAGAACAAAAATCCGTCCAACAACCTAGGAGCCTTGACAGACACAGGCTTCTTAGGTTGCAGTCCTGCATCTTATGCATCCTTCCTTTTTGTGCTTACACTCATATTTGCTTTCCTTTCTGCCAAGCTGCCAAACCAGATGGGAAGAACAAACTGTTGTGTCTTAAACCCGTAACACAACTGGTAAGCTTACTGGAAGGAGAGTGTGAAGGGGATGAGCCAGGAAAGGAAATAATTTTATTGAGACTACTTGCCTGACTGCGGTAGCCAAATATATGTTTTAGTTGTGCCTGGGGAAGGCACAGTCTGTGAGGTTCTGGAGACCTACTTGTATCTCTGTAGGACCCTAAGGATGGAACACGGCATTGGTACGAAGCAACAATTTTACAAGCAGAGATGTATGCTGTGCTTTTCTTTCTAACCAACTGGTGTAATAACTTCTTTCTGGATTGTTCATTGAAAGGCAGAGACAATTATTCAACTGAGCAATAGGAAAAGGGATTGGATAATTGCCAAGAATGCATACATCAATCAGTAATTGAGGGGAACGTTCACTTGTAAAAGAATGCTGGGTAGCATGTGGGATAACGGTTGATCTTCAGTTATAAAGTCCCTTTAATTTCCAACAGATTCAAAGATCACAAACAACTGTCCTGTAAAAACAAGAGGGGAAAAACAATCCTACCTGACAACCATGAGGTAAGTTGAGAAGTTTTTTTAGGCTAAAATAATTTACATTCATATTTTCAAGCACAGTATGTGCACTGTGGAAAAAAATGTGAAAGAACACACTTTTTAAAACTTGTGAAAAGAACTTGTGAAACAACACACAGATATTCTTTCAAAAAGTGTAACTGGTGGGGCTGTCCTGGATCACTTAATTTGATCAGAATTCCCTACTGAAAGCCTAGAAAATACTAATGGAGTAACATGAGTAATATGTATAGATGAGTAACTGTTTCCTAGTAAGCTTAGAATAGTCATCTTGTATTCAAGTCATACTAATATGGCGAGTAAAGGAGGAAGAACAGATGTGGATGACACATTTGAGGAGCAACTATGGAATGCAGTGGCTGCTGGATCCTGCTAAGATTACAATTTGGAGAACTGCGAGTGCTACCTAAGAGGCATGAATGTCGGGGATACCTCTGTAGGAGCCACTTTTTAAGAACTGTTTAGTTCCAAAATCAGGAGGTTCCAGAAACCCCTGCCTTATGCTAAGGCTGCTCCCCCAGTTAGCTGATACATAGCACCTAGCATCTGACATTTCCAGTTTCCACTGAGTTCCAGATTTAGCAGACCAGCTGTTACTGATGTTGTTGCATTCCTATTTTTCTCCATTTGGCATGTTTCTTCTGCTCCACCTGTGTTAATAGCCTCAGTTAGTATGATCAGAATCGTATTTCCCACATTAATAACCACTATTGAGCAGATACACAAACTATTGACAAAATGTCCAGCAAATCAGTGATAAAGATTATTCCTTCTGTGTATGGTGCCTAAGCAATGGAAAAAGAAAAAGCATTTAACTTCCTCCTTTCTGCCAGAGCTCTTGAGGAGGTACCTTCTCTTCCTTATGTTTCCCAGCTAAGGCAGAGGTCCTGCAATGCTGAAAATACTGTATCTCTACAAATTTGCTTTCTAATTTCAGCTGGATGGGTTTGGTGAGGTACATAAGTGTTCAATCAAAAATGCAGTACTGAGAAAATACAAGATGATGAACAATCTAGAGTTAAAGAATTACTCTAGATGCATTTTCACAAAACAATGAAATTCAAAGTTTAAAAAAAGTGAAAAGCAAGTAAACATAGAAACTGAGTACCAGAAGTATCTGTCTTGATAGCTGAAAGTAATTAGCCCAAGTCCTAAAATCCTCCTCTTTTATGTACTTAAAAGTCTACTTAATATTGTGGGAGTTTTGGTCAAGTATGGGAGATAACTATACAGGACATTGATGACTTTTCCTTTCCTGTCATTTTAAAGGTATTTTCACTTCTGTAAAGTTCCAGGAAGAGTTATGGGAATCCGACTGCTACGCTTCACTTCTGTGGTGATCATTGTCTTACTTCTAGTGGCAGGTGCTTTAACAGCTTTGCTTCCCAATATCAAAGATGACAAAATGCCCAATTTGAGAAGGGAACCAAAAACCCAGAGTCAATCTGCTTTGGATTCATTTACTCTTATTATGCAGACATATAATAGAACTGACTTACTGCTAAAGCTTTTAAACCATTATCAAGCCATCCCCCAGCTGCATAAAGTAATTGTTGTGTGGAACAACATTGGTGAGAAGGTACCAGAGGAAATGTGGAATTCCTTGGGGCCTCATCCCGTCCCTGTTGTCTTTAAAGTTCAAACTGTAAATCGCATGAGGAACAGACTCCAGAATTTCCCTGAGCTGGAAACAAAAGGTAATCAGCAGTTCATATCACTACTACTAATACTATTTTCACACTTAAAACATGAATGCTAAGAGAGAGATGGTTTGAGTTATACTATGTAATAAATCCATGTATCTGTTGGGTCACTTAATAGAATGTGGGTAACGTAGAAGAAACCTATGTTATATCAGATGCACATTAGCACCACCACCAGCAGGCTAGAGGGGCTGACAATGAAGAGTAAGGGGAAAAAAGAGGGATGTCAAATGCATTTCATGGGCTTTTGCAACTCTGTTCTCCATTTCCTTTGTCAAGCAAACATAGATAGTTCAGCCTCTCTTCCCTTTATCGTGTAAACTGAAATTCATAGTGCATGCATTTGTTGAGTCTCTGCATTAATTTGGACTTCAGTCATCTGGTAGAGACTTGATTTAATCCATTCATTTTAAGACTAAGTTCTCAAGCATGCTCTGCTCTTCAGAGAAACTTCCCTCCCTAGCTGGCTGGCTTTCTACCTCAAATTATGCATCCTTTTTAAGAGTATTTTCCCTAGTCTTTTGGCTATTCATCTAAATATTCTTCCTAAGCTCTTTCCAGGAGAAGCACAACAATAAGCCCTGTTTGTTTCAAGTGGAACAAAACCCCCTATGTTGCATTACAGACCTGACCTAACTCATGATTAGTAAAGGTAATTCTATTTACTGCCCCCTTCCTAACATGTCTTGCTACTCAAAACCCATGACTTCTAGGAAGACACTATAAACTTCAACTTCCCAAGTGTTTTATTACTGTAACAGGATTTATGCTGACTATAAACTTCAAAAGCTTTAATGTGTCTGGAGTTCTGATCTAAGAATATCTTCCCTTTTCCAATTCCTGATAGTCTTTTGCCTAAAATTTAAGGCAAAGATCCTTCCTTCTGTAGTTAATCATATTGAATGTTGCCTGTGCAATTCATTAAGTTTGCTTATTTAGAACTTGCAAGTACCGAGATGGGTAAAATTTTATATTAAGAATCTCGTATAAATCTCATACACTAAGAATGGTATCTACCTCTTCATTTTAGTTGTATTTTTACACAAGATTAGTAGAATTTTAAGTTGCTTTGCCAGACACTCCAAGTTTTCCAACACATACCTGTCTTGCTGTACTACAGATGATTAAAGGTTGCTGAGTTTTGTCACAGCCTGGCAAATAATCTAAAACTTACGTTTGCTTCCAGTTACCACAAAGCCGCAACCTTGCTTTAGCTTTGAAATCTAAATACGTTTTCTCAATCTGCTTTCAAGGAGTTACAATTCAGTTCTGCAATTCAGCTTAATGGTTATAGAAGTTTCACAGCTAATTTGTCAAATACTGTGCTGCATACTGTGCTCGTGTATTTAAACTTTTGATAAATTAAAGTTTTTCTTTTTTTTTTTTCCTTCCCTTCAGCTGTTTTAATGATGGATGATGATACACTAGTCAGTGCTCATGACCTTGCTTTTGCCTTTTCTGTTTGGCAGGTAATGTTTTGCACATTGGCAGGCACTTATTTGTGAGTTAGAATTCAGATTAATGCTTTTAATTAGAGTAATACTCTATCATGTTTTACCATTGATTTTCTAGCTATAAAGTTAAATTTTAGAAGGATTGAAGCATTGAATAGTAGAAATTGAAAAAATATTCTTCAATAGCAGCTATACCCGTAATCTATAACTTAACTCTTCCTGTACATGAACACTGAAATTGCTGACTGCTGCATTTATTTGAATTGATAGTAGGCTGCAAAATGAAAGTGTTTGTGTTTTTTCTCTCTAAGAGAAATCGGCTGTAAACTTATTTTGAGTGCCAAATATACAGCTGCAAATTGTGGATAGATGTTTCTTTGCACAACATGATGTGGAATGAGGCATATTGTGTCAGTTTTGCAAAACTGTATTTAATTGCAATATTTATGCAGATCAAAGGTCCATATGCCAACAATTTTATTCTTTCCTGGCAATAATCTAGTGCTTCTGTCATTTAAAAAAAAGCATATATCTCTATAACGAAAATACTTAACACGCATTTCACAGTGTGGGCTTCATTTTGATTTTTTTAAATTTCTTTTTTCTTTCAGCAATTTCCAGAGCATATAGTGGGGTTTGTTCCTAGAAAGCACATTTCTACTCCTTCAGGTGTATACAGTTATGGCAGCTTTGAATTGCAGAACCCTGGATTTGGAAACGGAGATCAGTATTCTATGGTTCTTATCGGGGCAGCATTTTTTCATAGTGGGTATTTAGAAGACTTTCAAAGACAGCCAGAAGCTGTTTATGCCTTAATAGATGAAACTCAAAATTGTGATGATATTGCCATGAATTTTCTGGTAGCCAAGCATACTGGAAAGCCTTCAGGAGTGTTTGTGAAGCCTGTTGATGTAAGAAATTTAGAAAAAGACACTAACAGTGGCTATTCTGGAATGTGGCACCGAGCAGAGCATTTGTTACAGAGATCTTACTGTGTAAATAAACTTGTTAATATTTATGATGGCATGCCTTTAAAATATTCTAATATCATGATTTCTCAGTTTGGTTTTCCTAATTATGCCAATCACAAAAATAAAATGTAAGCCAATGAATTTAAGGGGTTGGATGTTAAACAATACTCAGTAAATCGTACTGAGTTCAAAGAGAGAAGAAGGTATAATTACTGCATCTTGGCCATCCTTCTGTGTAGCCGCTGAATTTTTTCCATCTGGCTTTTTATGTGCAGGTTTTTTTTCCCCTTCTTACTAATTTTCCAAGGTAAGTTTTGAGAAAACTTAAAGAATACATACTAATGTTTAGCTGAAAAGCTCTTACAATTAAGCCAGTTCTTCAGAAACATGCAAAGATGCACTCCTACCCTATGTTTTGATTTTTTATTTTTTTTTTTAATATACATATCTAGTCAAACGAGATCTGGGCATTTTTTTGATAGGTACATGTTGAGATGTGTCCTTGCCTTCTCCCTCCTTTCCTCACCACCTCTTACCCAGTTCCTAGTAAAACTACAGAAGGGCTACAGTAAACTGTTGGCCAGGCTTCTAGTCTCCTGTACAAAACCCCTTTGCAGTTTGTATATAAGCTATTCTGTATTCTGAAATGTTCCTGAAGCTGCTATGAAAGCAAGCCAGAGAAGAGTACTTCACCTTAATCTCAGATAGTCCTAAAACAATTGCCTGCAATATCTACTACTGCTGAGATAGTGGAAAATGATCTCTGATGTGGCTTTTTTTCCTATTATTAATTTGCCTAGAGTTGCTGAAACACTGCAAGCAGCTGAAAGGTAAAACCTAGCAGTCGGAAATGTAAGAAACATGAATACACAAAATATTAAACTTATATAAGCTTATATAAGTTTATATGGATGGGATATTATTAATACTCTCTTTAGTACTTAGTTTTATTTTGATATTTTGCATGGACATTGTTACAAAGATGTGACCAAGAAAATCCTCACTTTTAAAAAAATGTCTTATTTACAGTTTCTAATAAGAGCAAGCTGTTCTACATTTGTTACAGAGTGTACATTTTGTAATATTACAGGTCTACTGTTTTTTAACTATTTCAAATGGCTATTTACTTTACTTTTTGGTTCCTTTCATCTCTGTTTTTGGTGGCTATGACAACAGAATTAAAATGTGCAATGAATGGTTAAAGCATTATAAAAAAAATATTGTAAGGTACAGTAGTATCTGACAGGGCTGGACTGTTATCACTGTCTGAATTTCCTGGCTTTATCTATAGCAAGAAACAGAACTATTATTTACAGCTTTTGTTAGATTCGGACTCTGTAGTTCTGGAAACGTTGTGTTAACATAGACAGGACAAACCTTTTCCATTGCAGTTACAGAACTTTTTTGTGGTATGGAAGAAAGAACAAGAGACGGTGATTTTCCTGGATCACAGAGAGTAATCAAATCTGGCATCCAAAGTAGATTTAGTTTCATCTGCGTCAGCTTTTAATTCTTTCTTAGTTCAAAGTTATCTATGGGCAGTCAGTAACAGCTAATACCTAATACACAAATAGCATCTGCACAAATTGCATATAATTTTATCATTTTTTGTAATAAGTTAGCTGAATAAAAAGTGGTTGACAAATGTGCAAGTTCTTTACAGCAGGGCTGATTCTGGATGTGAGTCTTTGGGTTTCTTTGGGGGAACAGAGGATTCTTTGGCCTTGTTCTATCAGTGTTAAAGGATTTAGTTTCTGTTCAGTGAAGTCTTCCTAGTACTTTTGCAAGATTTAAGGGGCAAAATCTTAACATGGCAATGTAAAGTCTGCTTAATTTTGTTGTAATACTGAAAAGTAGATTTTAATTATTGTGCTGTAGTGATAAGTAGTATACAAATAGGTCTCTGATCTTTCAAGAAATGCAACCTTCCTAGTAGTAGTTTACTGCACTTCACTTATTTACTGGTCTTCTGCAATTTCAGTTCTGTGCAGTATCGACTAGAACTGTAAAGCCTCACAGATGTTGTTTACCTTACTTTTAAAATGTGAAATCAACTGTTAACTCAGCCAAATCTTACTATTGGGTTCTTTGTCGGGGGGAGGAAATTGTTTTGGGTTAGTGGGTTGTGCTTTGTTGTTTTTTTTTCTTTTGTTCTTCTGTATTAGTGAAAGAATTAATAGAACAAGCTTTTCTTATACTGGTAAATTTAATTTGTACCATTGTCAAATAAAATACATAAAAGAGATTTGCAGTGTATTTGTTTTCAGAATATTGACCAAGTTTTTCAGTGCTAGATGTCTAAAGTAAGTTCACAGTTTGCATAGAGATGAGCAGCACCAAGATTTCACTTTTAAAAAAACGTGTACTTGTTGGCACATACTTTCACTTAATTTAGTTAAGGCCCTCTCATAAGGAAAAAGTCCATCAAAAAACACAGCCTTAAGCAATTAAGCTCAGATAGCAAAGAAAATGCAAAGATAAGACTTCAGCTCTAGCCATAATTCATTGTGCTTAGGAACCAAAAGGGGTTTGTTTGCTTATTTTTTAAAGACTGGTAACTTTTTATCCCCTGATAGGTATAAAAGTGCCTTAAGATTCTTTAATGAATTATATTACTGAGAATTTATATTTTTTACAAAATGATATGCATGTGATGACTTCTTCTAAGAGATTATCTAGATGTCATTTGGAAGTATTTTGGAGTCTAAACAGATTCATCACCACCTCTGAATATTCTGTAGAAATTAATGTTTATGCAACACAGGATTTTAAAAATTGTATCTAAATTGTATCTTAAAAATTCCCTGTTGAAAAAAATCAGGATATAGTCTTAAAAAGATGCAGCAAGACTACAACAAAATCTCTGCTTTACCTACAGTTAAATAAATGCCACAAGATGTCACTGTAGCCTTGATATTTTGTATCATTAAATGTTAAAAATAGTAATTGGAATTGATTATAGTAACAAAATTGTATGAGGTGAAAATGTTCTTAAAGGTAGCATTTTACAGGTGAAATCTGTTAGATAATGGCACTAAAATGGAATGACACAATACTGAAACCAAAAAAACATGGAGGTTAGTTTGTATGTATTTTTACAGGGAAGAAGAGAAAGATTAAGTATTTTCTGTGCTTACAAAGGCTCTAGCTAATTGCTGCAAACAAGAACTTGTATGCAACCAAAACAATATTTGTAATTTTGCAAAAGATATATAAACAATATACAAACATTTGACAGCAGGGCTTCAGTTTCTACTCATGTTTGCCTCTTAGATCCACCAGCCTAGCTAGATGGATTTACAAATAATAGGATTTAACACAAACTATGTATCTAGGGATTCTAGATACTGGACAGCTGGCTTGTTACACTGCACCATCTTTGCTTCTGTTGCCCAAGATACCTTAGTTAAACTAATTTGAGTATGCTCATACAAATTCCCCTCAAGTAGAGTCCAGCACAGACTAAGAAATGTATGTTACCTTGAACTGTATTGAAAGTTTGCATAAAAAAGGGTGTTAAAAAACTATGTTTATGGAGAAAACACATCGATACCTCTTTTCTTACACAGGATATGTTACCCCATAAAGAATTGCTTGTAAATAAAGTGAAATGTTTGATTTAATTAAGGGTTAAATACAAGTGAAAGTCACATAGAACAATATAGGAAAAGATAAACACATTGATTTTAACAAAAAGCAAGTACCCTCCAACAACCTTTATTTAATTTGCTGTACAGAAGACTGTGGTCTCAGTCTTGCAAGCATCTTGTATGGAATAGTACTTTCTACTGAGAATGAGGTTTCTTACCTAATTTCACAGGACAAGGCCCAAAGAGGGTCATATTGAGGAACATTAGTTCTGGAGCTATGAAGAAAGAGGAAAAAAGAAATGTAAGAACATCAGGTACAAATTATCAGAACCAATGCGAAAAACGAGCAAGAACTACAAAACAATTGCATAAGAAAAGAATTTTATGTAGTACTTCAGCATAATTGTAAGGCTTTAAAGGTTATCCAGTGCTTATGACACTAGACTAAAAATGGATGCATCAGAAGTGTTTCACACTCGTGTTTAGCCTCATCTGCAGACACAGTAGAATTCATGATGTGAACTGGTAGTTACAGTAGGTTGTAGTGTTAGGAAAACATGGTGGTAGTAATGTGGACCTCTGGGCTGCATATTGCTTTGTATTACAATGTCTTTTTAAGGTGTATCAAGGGTGGGGTTTTTTTGTTTTGGGCAAGAATAGCATTTTTTTTTCTCTCCTCAAGGTACTTCTCCTTTGCAACCTTTTGCTTGTTTACTTGTAAAAATGAGGTGGGCCGTTTGCTCTGTTTGACACGAGTTCTTTCTAAAGGGGAGGGTGGTACAAGAAAGGCATTTCTAACACCTTCAATGTTTCTAATTCTTTGGCAGGAAGTTAATTGCAGACTACAAGCTAATTTAGCTTTTCCAAATGAGCCACCAGAAATCCAATCCTTCACTTTTTAACTTTGTGTAGTTTTATGACAGCCTTAGACGCTTACGTGAAACTCGTCATCGCTGATCGACTTCGCACTAAGAGCGAGAGCCCATCGCTCGAACCAGTGCGGCAAGAGCTTCACGCAGCAGGGGCGCGCGCCGTCCCTTTCTGTTCGCAAGCAGCTTCCCCGAGA